GCTGCCCAGGCGGGTCTCGAATCCGCCGGCTCAGGCAATCCACTCACCTCAGCCTCCCAAAGGCACGGGATTATGGGCTGAGCCACCGAGCCCGGCTTTAATTTTTTATTTATTGTAGAGATGAGGTCTTGCCAAGTTGCCCAGGCGGGTGTCGAGCCCGTGGGCTCAGGCAATCCACTCACCTCGTCCTTCCAAAGCGCTGGGATTACAGGCTGAGCCACCAAATCCGGCTTTATTCATCTTTTGATTTCTTCTCTTCTTTAATTTCTCTCCTGTTGAAACTTTCCTAGTTGAAAGTGGTTTAGCACCTAATTGTGCTGCGATTTTTTTCCTGAGATCTCATTGACTTTTCCCAGCAAGAGTTAATGCTTCATACTTTCTGCTTCCTTTACATTCTTTGACAACCCCTCCCCAGTATGGAGCAAGTAAAAACTGCACAAGAAACACACTTATTGGCTATTTTATTAAGATTAAAAAATAGCTGGGCACGGTGGCTCATTTATGTAATCCCAGCACTTTGGGAGGTGGAGGCAAGAGGATTGCCTGAGGCCAGGGGTTCAAGCAATTTAGGGAGACCTTGTTTCTACAATAAATCAAAAAATTACCAGGCACGGTGGTGTGCGCCTACAGTTCCAGCTACTTGGAGGGCTGAGGTGGAAGAATTGCCTGAGCCCAGGAGGTCGAGGCTGCAGTGGCTGTGAGCTTGCCACTGCACTCCAGCCTGGGAGACATAGTGAGAATCCAACTCAAAAAAAAAAATACAAAAAATAGTCAATGGCTTTCTAAAGTTATATTTTAAATTGTAAAAACTGGCTGGGTGCGGTGGCTCGGCCTGTAATCCCAGCATTTTAGGAGGCTGAGGCGAAAGGATTGCCTGAGCCCGGGGGTTCAAGACCAGCCTGCGCAACTTGGTGAGCCCTCGACTCTACAATAAATCACAAAGACTAGTTGGGTGTCTGTAGTTCCAGCTACTTGGAAGGCTGAGGCAGAAGGATCGCCAGAGCCTAGCAGGTTGAGGCTGCGGTGGCCGTGAGCATGCCGCTGCACTCCAGCCTGGGCGACAAGAGTGAGATTCCAACTCAAAAAAGAAAAAAGCAAAAACCCTTTACAGTAGCTCCAGCCAAGTATTCTCTTTATCAGTACTCCTGATTTGAAAAATTACATAATGATGTGTGTCTATATTTCTATTATATAATACAGATATTATATAATTCTCTTTCTCTCTATATATAAAACCATCATTTATTTATTTAGTCTTTTTAGTTGCCAGGCAAGAAATTTGGCCTTTTATATAATAACTTTTTTGTTTTTTTATTTTTTATTTATTTTTACTTTTATTTTTGAGTTGGAGTCTCACTCTGTTACCCAGACTGGAGTGCAGTGGCCACTCCCGGCCA